ACGATGGAGGTCAGCGCATCATGGCCCGAGGCATGTGCGCGGACGAGGGGGGGACCAGGGAACGTATTGAAAGAGAAACAGGGGGCTATGAGATCTGACAAATTTCATTGTCCTGGCCACGATATCCACACACACACACACGCACACCTAGTCACTCTAACCCCCATCTTCAACGCCTAGTGGTTCTCGGGTCACAACTCGGGCCTCTGGCGGCCGTTCGGCACGATCCAGACACCCCCGGGAAGATAGCGACGAGGCGCAGCTGGTGGAAGGCATCCCGGTGCGAGAAAAGCTCCGAGCCACCCCCAAGAAAATCCCCCCCGAACAAACGAACACACAAACCCCTTGGACACCCCCCCATGGCAGCACTCGCTACCCCGAGGTGCGCGGGACACCACGGCGCCTCCAGGCGCGGCGGCGGGCTCCGCCGCGGGCGGGGCCAGTGGCGCAGCGCCCGCCGCGCGCCTGGCTTGCGGCAGGGGGCCCGCGGTCCGACAGAGACCCGCAAGGGGGACCCAGCCTCAGGAAAACAATCCCACTTCTCCAAGCAATTAGCGCTGACTCGTTTCGCCAGAGGGCCCTTAAATCGGATGCTTTCAAGCGGTTGCGCCTCGTCGACGGCGTTCCTGGAGCGCCCGAATCCTCCGGATCAGCTGCCAGAGGCCCGAGGCATGGCCCGAAAATCACAAGACCTCTTCGCGAGGTCGCGAGATCGCACCCTGCGCAGCCAGTCGCGCAAGCACATCTGGGTGCGGGCGGGTGCGAGGGTGGGCTGAGGGGCAGGTCCTCCCTCCTCTCAGACCCCTCCCTCCCCCCCTCTGCTCCTCCTCCTCCTCCTCCTCCTCCTCCTCCTCCTCCTCCTCCTCCTCCTCCTCGACTGCTCCGCCCAGAGAATTCGCCGGCCCAACGGGCCAGGGCGTGCTAAGATCTCCGGTAACTGGTTAACAGTATTAACAGTATTTCTAGTTCGCGCGCGCGGGGCGGCCCCTGGGGGTCCCCCGGCGAAAAGTACCCCGACCAACGCCCGGTCGCCGCCCGACCGCCGCCCGACCAAGTCTACTCAGAGATGGTTTTCCTTCTGGGTGCGGCCTCTCAGGCTCCCCAGAGCGCGCTCAGAGTGCCCCAAGAGGCCCCCAAGACTGCCCAAGAGGCCCCCGAGACGCCCAAAGAGCGCTCGAAGACGCCGAAGATGACCCCAAGACGGCCCAAAAGGCCCCCAAGACAGCCCAAGAGGCCTCCAAGACGCCCCAAGAGCCTTCCAAGAGGCCTCCGAAGAGAGCCCCAAGAGGCCAAAATCGTTGATTTTCATTGTTTTTTTCGATGTTTTTTGTGTTCTGGCTTTTTCGGCTTCCGGACGCTCCAAGACGGCCCAAGAGGCCCCCAAGACCGCTCCAAGACGGCCCACGAAGCTCCCAAGACGGCGCCGAAACGACCCAAGAGAGCCCTCAAGACGGCCCAAGTGCCGCCCAAGACGGACCAAGAGGCCCCAAGACGGGCCCAAGAGGGACTCAGGAGGGATACCGAGAACTCAAAAATGGAGCCCTCCGTCCCAGAAGGCGCCCAGGAGGTCCCAAAGAGGCCCCAAGAGGCCTCCAAGAGGCCCCAAGATGTCGCCAAGAGGCCCCAGGAGACTCCCAGGAGGCCCAAAAGAAGCCCCAGAAGGCTTCAAACATGTCTCCCAGGCGCCCCCGAACGGCCTCTCAACAGACCCCAAGAGGCCCCCCAAAGAAGCATCTTGACGACGACTCTATTTCGCCCCATCGAGAGACGACCCCCAGGGAACTGCTTCACCATCAAAACTCCCCACGCAACGCGTCCAAACGACACCCGCCCCCAAGAGCTCAACATGGGCAACGAACACACAGACAAAAACCAGCGATGCCATATCACGGGCCGGCGGAATGAGCGAAGCGATTCAATAAGTAGAGGGGTAGCTTAAAGGGAGAGCAAGGGGAGACTGCGGGAAGAGGAGGACAAGGAGAACGATGAGGAGCAGAGACATGTCGACTGTATGCAACACTGACCAAAACTTTGGATCCTGGAAGTAGCTCAAACTTGGCGTCTGGAAAGAAGGGAGAGGAGGAGGAGGATAACGACGACGACGAAAGAGCGGGGGGAGGAGGAGGAGAAAGAGGAGAAGGGGGAGGAGGGGGAAAAGAGAAGGAAGAGTAAGGAGGAGGAAGTACGGCGCACGGTGGGATGGAAGAGGGGGGTGACGACAGCGACGGCGACGGGGACAGCAACCGCGGCGGCAACGACAACGGTGGCACCGGCGACCGCGGCGACCGCCGCGACGACGTCGAAAAGGGGATTGCCGCCGCCGCCATAAACCCCGACGTTTGCGGCGTTTTCGTTGTCGCCGACCTTGTCTTCGCCGCCGCTGCCGTCGCCGCCGTTGGGTTCGCCCCCTGTCGCCCCGCCGCAGTGCCGCCGGAGGCGACCGAGGACTCCGGCGCACCCCGGCGCGGGGCGCGGCGCGCGGGCTCGCGGGCGCCGGGGGTCGCGACGCGCGGCGCCGCCTCAGAGTGGCAACTCCTGGGAAGGGCGAGCGCTTCGCCGTCATCGCTATGGGTTGCGGCCCACGACGACGACGACGACGACGACGACCACCACGACGACCACGACGACCACGACGACCACGACGACGGACAACGGACGACCGACGACGGACGACGGACGACGGACGACGGACGACGGACGACGGACGACCGACGACTGACGACCGACGACCGAAGACTGACGACCGACGACCGACGCCCGACGCCCGACGCTCGACGACCGGCGACAAAGCATCCAGGGATTCGACGACAACGGACGACGACGGACGACGACAACAACGACTCAGGGCTCCTTCGCGCCCCTCAAAAAGCAGCCCTTCAGGTGCCAGTAGAACGTGCCGAACGGGCCGTAGAGCGTCCCATAGTCCGCCCCGCCCCCAACACGCGTGGCGCGCGAACGGCCAAGTCTGGTTTGGGGAGACGCGAAAGATTAGAAAAGACCAATACACTTGGCGCAACCGAACTCACGGAGCACACTGAAGGCCTTGACGCAGGGCAGCCTAAGGCGATGGATGAAGGGGGAGGGATCCCACGAGCCCTCTGGGCGTGGATGGTTTAGAGCGTTTTTTAAAGACCACCATTTTCCCCTTCGGGGACGGGCTTACCCCTGGACCTGGACGGGGCGCTTCCAAGGGGTCGGAGCGTCCAAGGTGGCCTCGGCGAGAGAGCTTAAATCATCAGGTGCAACTCAAGTTTTGGACACATCTTGACCTCCAGAGGTGAGGGGGAGGGCGTAAATTGAGCAAGGCGCCTCCTTGGATCTATAAGCTCCCAGATGCCCCCAAAAAGGTTCTCAAGAGACTCCAAGAAGCCCCAACAGGCCTCGGCGAGAAGACCAAAATCCATGTGTGACTAAGGTTTTGGCCGCATGCGGGCATCCTGCGGGAAGGACCCCACTTGATTACAGCACGCCCCCGAGGCGCCCCAAAACGGCCCTGAAAGGTGCCCAGGAGCCCTCTTGAAGCCCCCTGTAAGTTCCCAAGAGACCCCATGAGGCCCCCAGGCAACCCCAAAATGCCCCCAGAAACACCCATGACGCGCCCTAGGAGGTTCCTGGGACTGCCAAAAAAAAACCACAACGATCCAAGAGGAGTCCAAAAAAGTTGCTGGGTAAACTCCGAAGGTATTCCGAAAGGAATCAAGAGGCGCATGGCCTTTCTGCTCGCCCTTCACCTCCTCCTCCTCCCCCTCCTCCCGCAAGATATCCAGGAGGATTCAGCGTAATTGTGCGCCTCCCGCAAGATATCCAGGAGGATTCAGCGTAGTTGTGCGCGCTAACGTTTGCCTGCGACGCTCGGATGAGTCAGACTTCGGAACGTTAAAAGTTTGAGCCACATGGTTGCGTGAATGCTCCCAGTGGCATTCACCCCGCCTCCCCTGTTGCCACTGCATGCTTCAACACCCACCCACCCCTCGGCTGGCACAGCCGCCACAGCAACGGGGAAGGTGACAGTAATAACATACGGAAGCGATGGAGAGACGTACTTAAATACGCAATATGAAGTCGTACAACAATGCATTCGCTGCGCCAGCTGGAGTCCATCGGACAAGCGAGGTGCACAAAAACAAGTTAAACTAAAACCAGATACGCAGGGCGAGCGATATTCAGTATTCATGATTTCGTTTTTCGTCACCAATATTTGCAATAATCTTACGCTATATGCACGCATGTGAAGCACGGCTGTTCGCGCTCACAAGGTGATGGGAGAGAGACGAGAGAAGGTGTGACAACTTTAGTGAGGCTTCGACGCCAAAGAACTCATGAGGGCCACACGAAGATTCGCGAATCACATAGTGTAGCCTCGGCAGCAACGATCCCCACCTGCCTGCCCCTTGCGCGGCCTGGCGACCCGGCGTACTCGAACGGCAACGTGGTCTGCGGCGCTCTCTCTGAGCGTGGCTCACGCACGTAGTCCTCCTTCCTCCTCGTTCATCCAGCACCCCCAACCCCTCTGACAAATGGTAATGTCAGCGCGGGGATGACAATTGCCCAGGGCTGACCAGTAAGACGCGTCCGGGGCGCAAATGTCAGGTGCCAGAATTAGATTGATTGGCTCGTCCACCAGATCATCATACCCGCTGCGGGTCAAATAACCACTGCTGCCCGTGAGTAACAAATTGATCGAAGTCGCACGACATGAACCCGGCCTGCCAGTAAGGGCTCTCTCGGCGCTTGGGGTCACGGCCCAGTAAACTGCGGCGAAGGAAGTTCGATCTGTTAATGCCCTTTCATCCTGCCCATAATGGTCGATTTTGCGATAAGACAGATACTGTGCCATTCCAAGGAGCGCTGCTCCATGTTAAGCTGCATCTCTTCGCTGTTAAGCTTTGCGAAGTGATGGGCAGGATACTGCTCGTACTGAATATGGAATCCATTCGCCACTTGAATGAACGAATGCGCCAGCTCCTCGCTAATGAATCTTACCACTGGCGTACAAGCTGTTATCTCGCCATGGTTGTCTCGCCATGGTTGGCGTTAGAATCTTCGGCAAGAATGCCGAGGGCCAAAATTCCGCAGTTGCCCTGCAAGGGCACGCCGAACAACGTTAGCAGCACGTTGACGGTCTCGAGTTCCTGCATGTCGGGTGATCCGTCGACATGTACCTGTGTGCCTGGCACCGATTCGCCATGGAACCAAGCCTGTTTAAGCCCATTGCGATCCGTGACACCGCGGCAACCCCCTGGCATCATCGGCGGAAAACGCATGATTTCGGCAACCCAACGTTCATGCTCCGATTTGCGGCAATGCGGAAGGGAGTCGAACTGCATGAGTAGACCTTCGAGGACGTCATACGATAATGGGTCGTTGGCGTGGCGGCCAAAGACAGGCTCGAACGTCCAGTGCTGGTGAACGTTGTCACGGTCGCAGACCTCTTCGCCGATCATAAACGGCCTGACCGCAGCCTCGTTGTGCCAATCACCGAACCAGTAACGCCAAAAGTGCCTGACTGCTTTGGTAGGCCAATGAGGACCATCCAGCTCGACTTGGTAAGTAGGGCCATGTTATGTTTTCCCCGCCTCAAGGGATTGCGATCCTTTAGCGCAGGCGAGCAGTGGGTTCAAGCTGGGCATCCCAATGATGTTCTCACCCAGCATGCCGACCTCGGTAATATCACGATTGTTGAAGCATGTCATGATGTCGCCCACACGCTCTTCCACGGACCTTGGTACCTGTCTTTCGCATGCTCCGTTGTCGTTTCGGCGGGCTGGGCTGGTTGGTTTGGTCTGTCAATGCCACCTGCCCCCAAAACGTGGGGGCCTCCGAGGGGCCCGTAGGTCCCCCGCTGCCGCTACTGCCGCACGCGGTAACATTCGGACTCGGAGCAGCTGGAGGAGTTGGAGCTGCTGGCGGAGTAAGTGGAGCGTTCACCCCCACGAGGCCTCTAAGAGGCCCCCAGGAAGCTCCCTCCCAAAGGGCCCAAAGAGTGACCCAAGAAGTTCCCGAGAGGTCTCCTCATCCTTCTCCCTCTCCGCCTCCTCGTCCTCCTCCTCCTCCTCCTTGTTCCTCCCCCACGTGTTCTCCGAAAGGCTTGCACAACGGCTGGGAGAACGCATGGTCCAATAGCGTGGTCACACTTGGCCTAAACGTTTGACGACATATGCGTATCCTGAAAGGCAGAAGGCGGCGGTGATTCGCCGTAGGCGTCTTCAACTAATGAGTTTTGCCTCTCAGGGACCTTCCAGGGACCCCAACAGGCTCCAAGTGCCCATCTAGGGAGCCTCTTGGCATCCGATCTGGGCTGGCTGTTCGTCCGATCTTGGAATGAATGCTTGGGATCTCTTGTCGCTTACTCGTGCCCTCTGCGAGATTCCCGGGCCTCTCTGGGGCCCCCCCGGCCGTTTCCAGAGGCCTGGGAGTTGCCCACGAGGCCGAGTTCCAAAATGAAAAATTCAAGGTCCCAGTTTGAGGACCCACATTGTCTTCTCCAGTAAATGTGTATGGAAAGAGGGGGGAGGAAGACGAGGAAGGCGACGACGAGAAAGAGAGGAGCGGCAGGATGGTAGAAAACAATAATGACTTTGATAAAAGAGCGTGGAGTGAGGATTAGGCATTAGGGGGATGAGCGCGAGAATGCAAATGCGGAAATAAAATACGTCAAACACGAAAATCTTGATATTTGCCGGCGTGGACCCCAAAGAGGAAGTTTGCATCCCCAAGACACCCCCACGGGCGGCAACGGGCGACAACGGGCCGGAACATGGCGAATCCTTGGGACACCCGTACAGGCGACAACGGGCGGCAACGGGCCGGAACGTGGCGAATCCCCGGGACACCCGTACAGGCAGCAACGGGCGGCAAAGGGGCGGCGACAAGCCAGAAAGTGGCGAGTCCTCGGGACACCCATCCAGTTCCTTAGAAACGCAAGTAAGAACCCCATCAGTGAAAGCACTCTTTCGAGAATGAGGCGAATATGGGGAAGATTGCATATGACGAAGAGGCGGCGAAGACTGCGTAGATGTAAAGACAGCAAGAATGATGCAAACCATGAAGGAAGGTTCAGTCGAAAGGTGGTCCCACACATGCATCAAAAGGAAACATCCAGTTCACTCCTTGTCCATCCTTTCCTCCTCCTGCTCCTCATCCTCCTCATGGTCACCACCACCACCATCATCGTCATCAGCATCATCACCACCATCATCACCAGCATCATCACCACCATCATCACCATCATCATCATCATCGTCATCATCATCCTCATCATCATCATCAGCTTCATCATCATCATCGGCGTCGTCGTGTGCACATAATTGTCATATTCATAACTAATCCTCATCATCCTCTTTCCTATCATCACCCTACTTTCGTTCATCCTTATCCGTTCTCCCCTTCCCCCTTGTTCCTCATCATCTCTCCTCTTCATCATACTCATCTTGCTCATCAATATCACCGAAGCCACCACATCCACAATCATCGTCATCGTCGTAACCATCGTCACCGCTTTCAACATAATCACCCAGATCATCGCAATCCTCATCCTCATAACCATCGTCCTTCGCCTCATTCTCCTTGACCGCCGAGGCAGGCCCAAGGGGATAGATTGACCAATTCAGCACGTGCGGGTCCATGCTCACCTCCTGTCAGGCGGGTCCCCCGCGGCCAGCAGCGGCGACAACGACAGCGACGACGACAGCGACGACGAAGACGACGACGGCGGCGGCGACGGCAACGGCGACGGCAACGGCGACGGCGAAGAAGGACGACCACGACGACGCCGACGACGAAGACGACGACAACGATGACGACGACGGCGGCGGCGGCGGCGGCGGCGGTGACGTTCTAGAGATTTTTGGTGACGTCCGCGGTCAAACGCGGCTCATCAGACTGGCCAAGACGGAAACCCGTGCTAAGCGGACTTTGGGAAACACGACACGACGACGACGGCGGCGGCCGCGGCGACGACGACAGCACGGCGGTGGCGTCGACCAAGGCGACGGCGGCGGCGGGGACGAAGGCTAGGACGAGCACGAGGTGGAAAGAGAGGGGAATGTACTGGATTCGCCATCGCTGCAGATACGGGCGTCCGCAGCGCCAGGTGGGATGCCATGGCAACGCAGCCGTGCAAGACGGCCCGCACCAGGCGAGAGAAGTGAGGACATCGGCGCCTCCCGGCTGAGGCGCACAGGTGGGTGCGCTCCGGCGGCGACACAGCGTTTACGTCGCAGCGCCGCAGAGGCAATCCGCACGCACGTCCGTGCGAGACCAGGGCACGGAATCGCGAATTACCCGCATTCAGGGGGGAGGGAAAGGCGAGGGAGGCGGCCGCGGGAAGGGAGAGCCGGGCGCGGGGGGCACTCACGCAGCAGGGCTGCAGCGAGCGGGCGGAGACGGCCAGGCTGACGGGCAGCCCCTGGCAGCCGTCGCAGGGCGACGTCACGATGCACCCAGGGATGGGCCAGCAGCCGCAGTGCCGGCGAAGCCCAGCAAGCGGGGAGGGAGAGCAGCGGGACGGAGAACCGGGGCGCCAGGCGGGGGGGAGGCAGCAGCGCGAGGGCGGGGGCGGGTCACGGGCGCGGAGCGACCGGCGTAGCAGCAGCTGCGAGGGCGGCCCCAAGCGGAGACTAGCGGGCCGGCCAGTGGCGTGGCCGCTGACCCGCCGGCAGCAAGCCTCGGGGGCTGGAGCTGGGACGGGGGCAATGAATGGAGAACCGACCGCCACCCCGAAGCCGGTGCACTGCATCACAGCTCAGGATCACGCGATGCCCAGTGCAGATGACGCACGGGCGGGGCTCCCACGAGGGGAAGAGAGGGACCGGCCCGTCGGGGGTCGTCGGAGGGGGCACCGAGGAAGGCGGCCACCGGGGGGCACAGGAAGAAGGTGGCACCCCGCACGCCCGAAGAGGCCGTGCCGCGTACCCGGCGGCGACACCGTCGAAGCATGATAGGAAAACACCCGCGGCGATTGAATTCGACAGGTCATCTAAAAACTTACGCCTGTGGCCCGCGAGGCCTGCTGGGCAGGCTCTGTCTAGGCCCACTCGAAGCAAAGCCGCGCGAATGGCACTCAGTCCTGGGAGGGTGGCAGCGGAGCGACCTTCACGGGTCACTGCTGCAACAGCAGCCAACTACGTGCGGTTTGCTCTTGCTCGTGCTTAACGGCTACAAGTCTTACCAGGCTGGCCCGAACCTCTGACTAAACGTGGCAACCTACTAGCCATCTCCTCACGCAAGTCGCACTGTTCGCCTGAGCTGCCGTCCCTGTAAGAAACGAGCATGCGAAAGTTTGGCGGGAAAGGCCCGCATGGGCCAGTATACGTGATTCCACCTTTGGTGCCTGCCAGGATCCACGCCGACGCGGCGCTGTGTTTGCCACCCTCTCGCGCATCCCGCTGGCGCAACCCAGGACGTGGCCTCTGGCGAGTTCTCTGCTCCCCGTCATGGGCCGCTCGCATCGTCAGTGGACCCGTGGAAAGAAACGGACCGCCCACGTGAGCGTGAGAGAAGGAGGAGGAGAAGGAGCAGGAATAGGAAGGAGGAGGAGGACGACGACCACGACGACGAGGAAGTAGGGGGAGCAGAAGAATGAGGAAGACGAGGACGAAGACAAGGACGAGGGAGAGAAATGACGCCGACGAAGACGAGGCGGAAGGAGACGAGGACGGGGGATGGGGGCGTTGCTTCCCGGGCCCGATCCTCTAGCAGCCCGCAGAGTCCCAGAAAGACCGCGGCGATGACAATGAAGGCCAGCGGGAAGACCGCCTCCCGTGACCCCCTCCTCATCCTCATCCTCCTCCTCATCACCGTCGTCACCGTCGTCGTCGGCATCACCATCATCACCACCACCGCCATAATCAGCATCAACACCACCACCACAACCACGATAATCATCATCAGCAGCAGCATCATCATCATCACCACCATCATCTTCATCATCATCATCATCAGCAGCAGCAGCAGCATCAGCACCGACATCATCATCAACCTCAGCATCATCATCGCCATCATCATCATCATCATCATCATCATCATCATCATCATCAGCATCAGCATCATCATCATCATCATCATCATCATCATCATCATCGTCATTGACATATTCATCATGATCATACATCACCATCAGAATCACCATCCTCACCATCATCATCCTCAGTATCAGAAGCATTGTCTGTCGTATTCGGCATCGTCAACATTGTCGTCATCATCGACGTCGTCATCTCATCGTCGGCATCATCGTTACGATCAGAATCATCATCATCATCATCATCAGCACCATCATCATCGGCATCATCATCACCACCATCATCATCGTCATCGTCGTCATCGCCGTCATTGTCGTCATATCTTCATCAGCATCATTGTCACCACCCTGATCAGCATCGTCACTATCCTCATCGTCGTCATCACAATTATGCTCATCGTCATCAGCATCGTCGTCGTCGTCACCACCACCACCATCCCCACATCATCATCCGCATCGTCGTCAGCGCCGTTATGATCGTATTCGTCATCCGCAGCACCTGCATCACCAATACTCACCACGAACATCGCCACGGTCACAACCATCACCATCATAATAACCGTCAGCAACAGCATGACCATCATCGTCGCCATCATCACCAGTACCACCGCTATCCTCATCACTATCTTCGCCATGGTCAATGACATCACTGGCTGTTGAATGTCTGGCTTCTGGATTAGCGTACAAGACTAGCCATCCTTGCCCAGCGGCACCGTCCACCCTTGCCCAGCGGCACCGTCTGTTGCCTCGTCTGTTGCATGTCGTAGCAAGGCCGACCGAACCATGCGTAGCTATCTGCACATCCTCACGGAGCTGCCCGATGTGCACCATTCCGCGGGGCGTACCACTTACATGTCCACGACGCAGCAAACCTTCGAGGCGTACTTGCACACGTGCTGCGTGAAGCTATGCCCGAGCACACAAGAAACGTTTGACCGTCTCTGGCATCAGCGCCACCCTTGAAGTAATCATCCTTGGAGTCATTGGACCATGGGCAGGTCCTTCCGTCGGTGTTGCTCCGAACCGGCTATTGGCGTAACAATCAAGGAGTTAGTCACCGACACTGGCGCCACTGTCAACACTCTTCACCTCGTCCTTGAAATCATCACTGGCCACCCCAAACATGACCTCGGGGCCCCTGGGCACTTTCTTCCTTGGGCTACACAGGATCGGCCCCTGGCACACTAGAAAATTCGTTACTGACACCAGCGCCTTCATCTAATTATCCTCCAAGCCATTATATTTGGAGTTCTGGGCAAATAAACCCTGAAAACCGACCAAATTTCACATCGGTGTTAACTGCCGACACCCTCGGCCGCGCCAGGCTTACCGAACGTTACCTTAGAAGAACCAGTCGGGAGCACACATCAGGAAGCTGCCACAGATGACAAACCCCTCCTTCATTAATATCGGGGACATTGATGGAGGCCTTGCAAAATCCAGATCGGCGCCAGCCAAAAGAACTTCTGGGAGCACGATACCAACACCCACACCGCTGTTGGCACCCTTCGCCTCGACCACTGCACTGATCACAGTACCAATGGTGCCAATCTGCTGGGCCGCTTACTCATATGTTCATATTCCTCGAAGCCTTTGGGGTGGTCACCGATGAAGAAGCCGTTCTTCAACTGCGCAAATTTATTCGACGTCATTGCTACGGATGAGCGTCATGCACGCATGACCCTTCCGAACACACGGCGCCAGCGTGTTAGTATGGGCTGGAATTCGGCATGTTGCCCGCTGCTCTCCCCCTGGCCCGCGGCCATAACTTTCCAAGTACCCGCGGTGCAGACCTTGCCAGGCAGCGACTCCTCGATCGCCGCTTCAAAAACACACGCACACACGGTACGCGGCCGCTGTGGCCGGGTGCGCCCAAAGAGCCTGTCGTGCAGGGACGCCTCTCCAGATCTGCATCTCCTCGGCGCCGACCGCGTGTGCCAGGCTAGCCACGCGCGCCTCCTCTCCAGGCAACAACGAATACGAATTACGTACGCGCGGTTCTCCGCTCACGGGCTCGGCGCCTCCACACGCCGCGAATCCGCCTGGAGCGCGCGCGTGCGCGGGCGGCCAGGCATCCCGCAGCGGGCCGCCAGCAGATGCGCCGCCACGCCCCGCATCAGCGAGGACGGCACCAGCACTCGCAAAGACTGACGTGGCCGCTTCTGCCCGGGCCAGCACGCGGACATTCACGTGCAAGGTTTCAAGCGCTCACGCTGCACACCCCCGTGGCAGTGCCCAGACCTGGTGCTGAGGGAAGGGGAGGGAGAAAGGGTGGCGGAAGGCGGGAGGAAGGAGGGAAAGGAGACTGGGACGACGACGACGACAACGACGACGAAGACGACGACGACGACGACGACGACGACGACGAAGGTGACGTCGACGGCGGCGGCGACGACGACGGCGACGGCGACGGCGACGGCGACGGCGAGGGCGAGGGCGACGGCGACGACGACGACGGCGACGGCGACGGCGACGGCGACGGCGACGGCGACGGCGACGGCGACGGCGACGGCGACGACGACGACGACGACGACGACGAGGACAACGTCGTCGGCGTCGGCGGCGGCGGCAACGGCGACGGCGGATGCGGCAAGCGCAACGGCAACGACGACGCTGACGTGGCAGGGCGGTGGCGACGGCGACGGCGGTGACGGTGGCAGCAACCGCAGCGGCAACTGCAACGGCGACGAAGACGGCGGCGACGGCGACGGCGGCGACGAAGACGACGGCGACAGAGACATCGACTGGCCGCACCGCTCGAAGCAGCCCCCCCAGGACACCAAGGTGAGCAGGAGCGCCCGGGGCACGGCACACAGCAGCTCCTGCCGCCAACGGCGACGGCCACGCTGACACCGACCCTGACACCGACGCCGACCGCAGAAGCGACGACACCAGCACCAACGGCGGCGGCACTGGCGGCGTTGGCGTTGGCGGCGGCGGCTGCGGCGGCGGCGGCAGCGGCGACGGCGACGACGACGGTGACGACGACGACGACGACGACGACGACGACGACGACGACGACGACGACGACGACGACGACGACAGCGGCGGCGCGGCGGAGGTTGCGGCGACGGCGGCGGTGACAGCGCCAGCGCCGTGGGCGACCGCAGCGCCAGCGACGGGTGCGTTGGCCACAGCGACGGCGACCAGCCCAGGAGGGAAACGTGAGCGGGGGGAGGGAGGCAGGAGGGCAGGGCGAAGGCGGGGAGGCTGGGAGACGGGGGCGACGGGAAAATGAGGAGCCGGAGAAGCGGCAGGATCCGGAGAAGACAGAGAGAGAGGAGCGGATGGAGGAGGAGGAGGCGGCGGAGGAGGAGGCTCGACCCGAGTAGAGAAGCAGGAGGAAGAGGCTGGGCTCGCCTTGCCCACGACTGTGAAAAAAAGATACTCGGGATGACAGAACTGTCCCAGGGAAGGGATCGATAGGTCTCGACAAAATCGTAACCAAATGACTGGGTTCTCATACTGCTCCGTATCCGTTTTGGCTCGCACATATGATCACACACACACACTGTCATCCTAAAACTGACTTTCCTCACATAGCCGGCCTGAACTGGAGACCTTGCGAAATACATCTTCGTCAAGAGGCTTAGTGACAAAGGGGTGTTGATACGACAATTCGTCTACAAAAGAGGGGACTTGAAACGGCTGCGCACTACGAGGCTGCTTGTGGTGATAATGTCGAAGCATCGGGTCCGAAGTACTCTGGCAAAGCAATAACAATGATACCTGGGGACAGCAGATGCCAACCATGCAGTGCATTATCGAGTACACATTGCCATACCAACTGGCGGAAAAACAAATGCGTGCGAAGAGAGTTCGGATCGATTCGAAACAACTGCATGTGTGCATGTGGGGGTGGGCATCGCGACGTCCATGTTGGCAACTCTGACGTTACTGGGCACTGGGAGACGGACCGATCAAACGCAATCTTAAAACTGTGATGAACGTTGAAATTGACTGTCATGCGACGCGCATTACGTGAAAAGGGCCCCATGCTGACAGGGGAAGACAAAGAACAACAAACAACGCTTGAGAAATATCCAAACTATGGTCCAGATGAAAGCCCCGAAACCTGAAACTGAACGAGTGATACGAGGCGGCTCTGCATGGACATCCTCCTCTGTTTGCTCCTCCCTCTCCCCATCCTACCCCCTTCCCGCTCCCCGCTCATCCCTCTCCTGCTCCTCCTTGTCATCCTCTCCTTCCTCCTCCTCCGTCGTGGGCATCACTTGCCAGCAGGAGACGGAGGCGAACTACACACACGCGCCGCGCCCAAGCGGTGCGTCGAGGGCGTCTTGAAGAGCTTCCTGGGCCACTGCGATTCGCCCACTACACCTACTTCGAGACGTACCCCAGGTCCCAGGCTAGCGACTCCACGGGTGGCCTCATACTGGACGTACATGTTCGCGACGTCGTTTGATTCGACTTCTCCCCCCTGGACGTCGACCTGGTCGCGTTCATCCTCACGCAGCACTTGAGGATGGTGTTTACGATGCGCTGTTGACGGCAACACCACACCGCTCACCCTCCGGATCTTCGCCTCCGGCTCCTGTCCAAGGCGTTCCTTTTCCTGTGCAAGCTCCTCGGCACCGCCTGCACCCCGGCCCGCCCTCCGGCCGCCTGAGGCCCCGCCCGCCTGTGCTCTGTCTCCCCAATCAGAGCTTTGCGTAGCCCGCCTAGCTTTTAACTGGAAGAGGTTCGCTCTCGACTCGCAGACCAAAAAAATGTTCGCGACGTCGTTATCTTGGAGGGACCTCGACAAGGCCCCTGGCACAGCAGCTCGCCACCATCGTTGAGAGCGGCCCATCTCCTACACAGTGGACCCACGGTCGGCATCTCGCTGAACCACACGTTCGCAAAGCGTGTGGCGTGGCACGGCTGCGTGAAGGGTTCCGCGCACCATCCGCTTCATGCTTGCCTCCCTAAAAGTCACATGCATCGGCTGGCCTCCAGTTCACTGCACACCGCACGGGCTTCATGTTTTCGAAATTCGTTTTCGCGTTTGTAAAGTCATCGAGTCAGCCACGTTGTGCAGCCCTCGGCCCCGAGAACCCTAGACTCGTAGACCCGAACCCAAGAAACCCACAAGAGCCCCCGAAAAAAGACCCCTCAAGAGACCTCCAATCCCAAGAGGTCCCCCCAAGCTACCCCCAAGCCCCAAGACGGCCCCAACCAAGAAGGGCCCAAGAGTGGGAACACGAACCAAGAATTCGAGCCTCCTGCCTCACGAAGCACCCAGCAGGCCCCCTTGCATTCCCGGAAAAAATGCACCAAGAAACTGTGCTGGCACGGTGGCGGAACTCCCGGAGGCCCTGTTCGGCCCATTACAGAGGAGGTGTCAGAAGTAAGAGGAATCATCATCATCATCATCATCATCATCATCATCATCATCATCATCATCATCATCACCATCACCATCACCATCACCATCACCATCACCATCACCATCACCATCACCATCATCATCATCATCATCATCATCATCATCATCACCCATCACCCATCACCCATCACCCATCACCCATCACCCATCACACACCATCATCATAATCAGCATCATCATAGTCAGCATCAGCATCAGCACCAGCATCAGCATCATCGTCATCAACAACACAATCATCATCAACGTCATCGCCATCATCATCATCATCGACAACAACATAAGCAGCATCATCATCACCATCATCGTCAGCATCACCGCCATTATCATAATAATAATGATAAATGTAAGAATACTCCTAATAATAAATATGATCGCAAAAACAAGACTACAAATATTCATGATCATCATCATCATCATCACCATCACCAGTACCATCACCGTCAACGTCACCATCATCAACATCATAATCTGTTTGATCACAATCATCATCATCATCGCCGCCATCATCATCGTGAAACGTATAAATAGAATGATAATAGTGACAATAAATGACCCCAGTGCGACCCTACCTAGAAGATGGAGCCCCTAGAAAAGCAGCATTAGTTGCTATGCTATGCTATGCTGTGCCATGCTATGCTGCGCTATGCTATGCTATGCTATGTTATGCTATGCTATGATATGCTGCGCTATGCTATGCTATGCTATGCTAAGCTATGCTATGTCATGCTGCGCTGTGCTATGCTAAGCTATGCTCTGCTATGCTATGCTATGCTGCGCGGTGCTATGCTGTGTTGTGTTGTGCTGCGCTATGCTATGCTATGATATGCTATGCTATGCTGCGCTATGCTGTGCTATGCTGGGCTTTGCTATGATATGCTGTGCTGCGTTGTGCTGTGCTACGCTCTGCTATGCTATGCTGTGCTCTGCTATGGTAAAGCTCGGCGAAGCTAAGATGAAGGTAAGCTAAGCTAAGATAAACTTGAGCTAAGATGAAGCTAAGCTAAGCTAAGATGAAATAAACTAAGCTAACATGAGATAAGCAACGCTAAGCTAAGGGAACGTCACTGGGGGAACCGCGGGGCGGATCCTGGGGGAACCGCCCGGGGCGAGGTCCACTGCCCGGCCCTTTAAGCCAACAGGGTAAGAACCCTTCTAGGCAGAGCCTAGGTAGGGAAGAAAGATACTATACATCATCAAAATCAGACTCAGCATCATCATCATCAGAAGCATCATCCAGATCATGATCAGGTTCAGAATCATCATCATAAGCATCGTCGTCATCATCATCAGCATCACCATCATCAACATCATCATCACCCCGACCCGCACCACCACCACAGCCGCAACAATCAGAATCATCATCACCATCACCATCATCATCGTTATCATCAGCGGCATCATAATAATCACTATCACTATCAACAATAAAAACCTCATCATCATGATCATCATCATCACCAGCAGCATGATCAGCATCCTCATCATCATCCTCAGCAGCAGCAGCAGCATCCCATCATCATCATCAGCAGCATCATCATCACCACCACCACCATCATCATCACCATAACTATCGACACCATCATTATCATCATCACCATCATCAGAAGCATTATCAGCATCATTACCACCATCATAATGAGCAGCCTCAACCCTCAAAATCAACATCATCAGCAGCAGCAGTAGCAGCAGCAGCATCCCGTCATCATCATCATCATCAGCAGCAGCAGCATCATGATCATCTCCACCATCAACAGCACCATCACCATCATCATAGTCACCATCACCAGCACCATCAGCAACATCATCATCATCATCATCATCATCATCATCATCATCATCATCATCATCATCACCATCATTACCATCGTCATAATCAGCATCCTGAACATCATCATAATCAGCAGCAGCAGCAACATCCCGTCATCTTCATCATCATCACCATCATCATCAATATCATCATCGTCATCATAAGCAAAGGCATCATCATCACAACCAGCATCGTCACCATCAGCAACTTAATTATCATCATCAGCAGCATCCCGTCACCATCATCATTATCATCAGCAGCAGCAGAAGAATCATCATCATCATCACCATCACTACCCCAATCACCATCACCATCATCGTCATCATCATCATGATCACCATCAGCATCGTCACCATCAGCATCATTACCATCACCATCATCATAATTCTCATGATAAAGGTAATAACCAGAGTAGTGATAATATGAATCATGAAAATATGTGTCATCATCATAACCACCATGATCAAAATCAGCATCATCACAATCACCATAATCATAATCGGAATCCGAATCGTCATCATGTTCGTCGTCGTCATCATCATCACCATCAGCAGCATCACCCTCACCACCACCACAACCGCCACAATCAGAATCATCATCCTCAGCATCATCTTCGTCATTATCGTCTT